AGGGGAAGCAGTGAGAGATTTCAATGCCACAGGGAAGGAGAGAGAAAAAACAATGGTGCCATGCAGGTAACCGGCATTCGGGATGGGCCGAACGCCCGAACGTACTTGACCCCTTGGGGATGCACTTGGCACGGACCAAAAGAAAAAAGGAAAAAAAAAAACAATTGAAAAAAATCTGAAAAGAAGAAATGTTATGAAGAAAAATAAAATAAACAACATTTGGCCGAGCATTACATCCAAATTCCTTACCACATCTGAAATAAAAATAAAATACAGAAAATAAAAATAATAAGAAAAATAAGAAAAAAATCAAAAAATAAAAAGAGAATTAAAATTAGTGAGTGAGCGAGCACGTTTTCGACACCGCCATTTTTGGCAATTTTTCATGGTTTTTTGGGCACAGCCAAATGCCCTGAAAATTTACAGATGTGTACTTCACATAATACAAAACCCATTAAAAAAGTTTCAAAAAATAATAAAATTGTTTAGGCCCCGCAATAAAGTGAAAACAAAAAGTAAAAAGTGAAAAAAAAGAAAATAGTGAGTGGGCGAACACGTTTTGACACTGCCCTCTTTGGGGATTTTTAATTTTTGTTTGGCTTAGCAAAATGACTTCAAAATTTATAGGCATGTACCTCACGTCATAGAGAACTCACAAAAAAAAAATTCAGAAAAAAAACTTATTGACGAACTCATCAATGATGAGGCACGCAGGCTCGAGGGGGAGTGAGGAAGGAACGAAAGGTGTAAGGGAGAGGATAGGAGGGCCCCCCTGAAGAGACCGCGTGGCGGCGGTCGAAACCGGTCGGGGTGTCATACCCACCGGCGATGACGATGTTTTTCTTGTACTTGTGTACTTTGTGCACGATTTTCGTTGGACAATAACACTGCTATTGCACGGCTTTTGCTATGCTTTTGCACACTGTTCTTTGTCTTCCATATCCATACAACTAAACAATTATTTTTAGGCCCCGAAATAATTTTTGGCGGGGGCCGAACGCCTTGGGGTTCAGACCCCGAACGGGACCCCGAACGCCCGTACGTACCGAGGTCGGCCCAGGGACCTCCGTACGTATGGGCTGGTGACCCTGGTGCCACGTCCCTTTTTTTTTCTTTTTAATCTTTTTTCTTTTTCTCTTTCCCTGTGGTGTTGAGATCTTCCCCTGCTTCCCCCCCTTTCCCCCCCCAAAAAAAAATAAAAATAAAATTCTCCCACTGAGGTGAAGGGATGATGTGGCAGAGGGTTGGGTGGGAGAAAGGTCGGGGGGGTGGTCGGAGGGGTGGTCGGGGGAGGGGCGGGGAAGGGTCGGTTTCCAGAACTGCCAAGGGAATGAAGTAAAAATCGGACCATGAAGAAAATTATAAGAGGGACTGAGTCAGTCATTCTCTGTGTGTGTGTTGTCATATTCGCTACACTCTGTGTGTGTGTGTGTGTGTGTGTGTGTGTGTGTGTGTGTGCGCGTGACAGATAAGAGGTCTCCACAATAAGAGGGATATATACACCGTGACCCCTATAGATGTATCTGACTGTAATCATGTCCAGAATCATGAATCCAAAGGAGAGACCTGTCAGAATAAGAGGGATATTTGCACCGCGTCTCCTATGGATGTATCTGTCTGTAATCGTGTCCAGAATCATGAATCCTAAGGAGGGGTCTGCCAGAATAAGAGGGATGCATACGCCATGACGCCTATGGATGTATCTGACTGTTATCATGTCCACATTCGTGAATTCTAAGGATGTAGCTGATTGCAATCGGGCCCAGATGCAGTCTTCAAACGCTTATTGCAAGTGTGCCGTGGGAAGAGGGATGATGTGTGAGAGAGAGGGAGCAAAGAGGGCTGTCTCTCATGGGCCTTGGGTGGGCCTCTCTATGACACTATAAGAATGGAGTCCTAAAAGATAAAATGAAAAATGTATTGTATGAAATTATGAATATTTTTGTTTCTGTTTGTTTTTTTGTTTTTCTTTTGTTCTTTTGTTCTTTTGTTTTTCTTTTGTTTTTTTTTGGGATCAATTTCATTGATTGGATTGGTTGACGTTATTTGCCCCCTCCACCCTCTCTCTTTCTCTTTCTAACTCAATTTGGTTTCTGTTGACGTATCCATTATAGTGGTCCTTTGGTGGATCTCTCTTCTCTCTCTCTCTCTCTCTCTCTCTCTCTCTCTCTCTCTCTCTCTCTCTCTCTCTCTCCTCCTCCGTCTCTCGTCTGTTTATCTTGTCATTCAGGTTCTCAAGCACAGTGTGTTGCCAATTCGAGTACTTGATTAATCGTCTCTCGTCTGTTTATCTTGTCATTCAGGTTCTCAAGCACAGTGTGTTGCCAATTCGAGTACTTGATTAATGCCTCTCTCTCTCTCTCTCTCTCTCTCTCTCTCTCTCTCTCTCTCTCTCTCTCTCTCTCTCTGTGTGTGTGTGTGAATCTGTGGCAATGATTTTGTGTTGTTGTGGGCTTTCAAATCCTTTCAGTTGCGGATATCTTGCTATGGAGATCAATCCACTTGAGTGGAGGTATAGTGGCTGGGATGACGTTGGTATGGGCCGTCTTTGAGTTCTCAGGCTACACACTCCTTACCCTTCTATCGAACACTCTCCTTGTTCTTGTGGCTGCAATGTTCTTCTGGGCGAACGTGGCACACTTTCTCAACAGGTCAGCCTCTCTCTCTCTCTCTCTCTCTCTCTCTCTCTCTCTCTCTCTCTCTCTCTCTCTCTCTCTCTCTCTCTCTCTCTCTCATGCGCGCTCTCTCTCTCTCTCTCCCCTTTGATTTCCCTCTTTCCATTCCAGCACCTGCACCCACTCTCTCCTCCTCCCTCCGTCTGCACTATGGAGTTTTGGTGCCCACTGTTCACCCTATGTCTTTCAGAGTTTCCCTCTGAACCCTCTTCTGTTTTTTGTACTCTTTTTCTCTCTCCTTTGTTCCCCCTCCCTGCTCCTTCCACCCTCCGTCTGCTCGTCTCCTCCGCCTCCTCTTCCCTCTCTCTCTCTCCCCCACCTTCCCTGCTTCATTTTACAGCTGGCCACCTTCCAACGCTCTACACCCTTTTTGTCTCTGTTTGTTTGTGTGTGTGTGTGTGTGTGTGTGTGTGTGTGTGTGTGTGTGTGTGTGTGTGTGTGTGTGTGTGTGTGTGTGTGTGAGAGAGAGAGAGAGAGAGAGAGAGAGAGAGATGTTTGATGTCATGTTGTACTGTAATCTCTGTACGTTTCCCCACTTTACATCTTCTTTTTTACCGCCAGCCCTTTCTCTTCCTCTCTTTTTTTTTTTTCTTGTGGTTTTTCCACCCCTGCATGTCTCCCGTCTCTCCTGTTCATTAGTATTTTGTTTGGTCACGTGGCCGTCTCTCTTTTTCTTTTTGTCATGGACTCTTCTGTGTCCTGTTCCTTTTTTTGTTTTCTGTCCTGCTTTTTTTTTTTTTTTTTTTTTTGGAGCTGGTGGTCCTTGCTTCTTTATCCCCCATTTCGCCCACCACGTCCCTTTTGCTAGTTTCTTTCTGTTTTGCCCTTATTTAGCTTTTCTCTATTCCATTCTCATTGCCCTTCTTCCCCATTCCTTCCTCTTGCATGCGCATTTGCTTGTCTCTGTGCTCTTTTTTTTTTTTTTTTTTTTTTTTTTTGGACCATTTCTCGATTCATGCGTGTCATCCATGCGCTAATCTTGTTTCTATGTATCGTTCCAATTTTAACGGATGTCCTGAAGGACAGCTCTGTGTATCGTTTCCAGTTTGGTTCATTTGCATCTCTCCCCACTGTGCTCGCATTGTCTTCTCTAGGCAAAGTCACACAGCTATGTCTTTCCCTCGTCCCCCCCGCCCCCCCCCCAAAAAAAAAAATGACCACCATCAATAAAGGGGGTTACCATAACATTGTAGTATGCAATCTGATTCCGTCAGGACTTGAACTCATTGCCACCGCATGTTTGTACGGTCAAGCAACAATGGCCGGGTACTCTCTACCTTCCGTTCCTTGGCCTTTAGACTCGCTTTTTTCTTCGTCCAGTTCACGATCTGCGGGATCTGATGCCTGTTTCCACTTCTCTTTCAGGGTGTGCGCATGCTCTTCCAACTGATCCGGTCTATTTTGTGGATATGTCTTCTGTTTGGTACGCCTAGGTAGGGTCCTTGGGGTAGCCGACAGCAATTACGTCCAAAAAAAAAACGACGGCTGAATCAGTTGAGAGAGAGAGAGAGAGAGAAAGAGAGAGAGAGAGAGAGAGAGTAGTGGAAACTGGCAGGGAAGATACATCTTGGGAAGTCCAACCGTCTTCACGCGAATAGAACGCCTGCTCATTATATCTGTATTTGGTCCACCTTTCGGTTTTTAGTTTGAGCGATTAATGACCATGCGTTCTATTCGGGTGAAGACCCTAGTGTAAGTAGTAGGTTCCCACTCTCTTGTCTCGTCCCCTGCTTTGTGATTCTCTCTCTCCGTCTCTCTCTCTCTCTCTCTCTCTCTCTCTCTCTCTCTCTCTCTCTCTCGCCCCATCTTATTGGGGGGGGGTGGGGGTCCATCTTATATGGGGCCGGGCCGGGGGGGGGGGGGGGGGGGGGGGGGGGGGGGACAATGAGCTGCTATAGAGGACCGCGAGGAAACTGCACCGCGAGGAAACTGCACTGGCTAAACTCAAACTCAAATTGGAGGCCCCCAGGGCGACCCCCCAGATGTTTGGTCGTTTGGGAAGGGGTTTGGGCCCCACCAAACCCCATTTCGGGGGCAATTTTTTCTTTTTCCCTTGAATTTTTTTTTGTAGCATGGAGAACCCCCTTTCTGCAATTAAAAAAAAAAAAAAAAAAATGCATTCAGGCGGAACCTCTGGCTGTGGGGCCCCGAATGTTTGGGCATCCGGGTTCGGGGGTTTGGCCTGAACCGAACGCCGGTAACCAGGGTTGCACCGGCGCCGACCGCCGACCGTTTTGTCCCGACCGATGGGGGCCGACCGGTCGGCGGTCCGCCGACCAGTCAGAAAACAGGCATCCGCTACTTTTTTTTTTTTAATCTGATTGCGCAGCCTTACTGCGCTTGCTGAGTACAGCCCAAATCCGCAGAGAAACTTTTGGGATGGGGGAGGGGTATGGGGGGTTGGGGTTGGAGCATACCTGCGGCACAAGTGTGCTGGTCACCGATGCGCAAAAAAACAAAAAAGAAAAAAATAAGAAAAAAGAAAAAACGGCTGTTATGTGTGAGAACACGCAAAAAAGAGAGAGAGAGAGAGAGAGAGAGAGAGAGAGAGAGGGAAAAATGTAAACAAATAGCTCCTTAATATTCATTTCAAACCCCCTGCGGGTTATCCGAGAGGGCCCTGCACACAATCAGCAAGGGCCACGTTGCCATGAACGAGGTAGTAGTCATAGCCATGCTGAAGTCATGGCACGCCAAGTATATATGCTGTTGATTCACTTTAAGGTCCGTGTTTCAGCAGTTATGGGACCACTGAGCACGCGAGTTTCTGGGCAGTAGCAGGCCAACTCACCACGTGCTTTTCAGGGCTTCCCTCCACTACAAATGTGCAAAACTAGAATGAATCTTCTGCTAGAACATGGAACCGAACGCCGCCATATGTTTTGTCTTTTGTGCAAGTGGTGACGAGTGAAGCAAGGCCCTTAGGGCCACTTGTCGTAGGAAAAGGAAACAAAAGAAAGAGAGGAATGAATCTTTTGCTAGAACATGGAACCATACGCCGCCATATGTTTTGTCTTTTGTGCTGGTGACGAGTGGAGCAAGGCCCTTAGGGCCACTGCTCGTAGGAAAAAGAATCAAAAGAAAGAGAGAGCTACGGTAGTAAGTAGTTGTAACTTGTAACCCATAACTTCTCGAAAGCAGATCTGACTTCGGATCCAGAACATATATTGCTGGCCTGCTCCTCATTCGTACGAAATTTGCTGAACATCTCTTGAGATGTTGGGACCCTTGAATATGTACTGCTCGGGTCCTCCGTGAAAAATACTATTCAACAAGGAATACGTGGGCCCTATTTTTTTTTCTGTGGGGAGGTGCACCATTGGCTACCTCAGCCAGCCTTCTCCAAATTTTATTTTATACCCTATTTATTGGGGTGCGTTGCATCACGTGCGCGTGCATGCTTACACGTGCGCTATGCTTACACGTGCGGAGCTCCCGCGCATGCGGTATGCCGCAGGTATGGGTTGGAGTACAGGCGTAGTATAGGGGTGATATAGGGGATATTGGGGTGTTTAATAAGGATGTTGGGGGCGGTTCGGGAGTGTTAGGTTGGTGTATGTGGGTATTGGGGGCCGCTCTGGGGGTGTGGGTGGGGTTATTAGGGGTTCTGGATCCCCCCCCAAAAAAAAAAAAAGTGCGGGGTGCCGATGATCCCTGACTGCTAGGTGCGACCAGTCAAGGGCCGCCTACCGTCGGGGTGTGCAACACTGCCAGTAACCCTAATTACACCTGGGAAAAAAAAAAAGGAAAGCAGTGATTACACTAGCTTGCAAATTGGCAATGTTGAAAGTCTCTTGACGATGGAAAGCCCTGCGCCCACGCCCCCCCCCCCCCCCCCCCCCCCCCCCAAAAAAAAAAAGCAAAGCTCCCCCCCCTCTTCTTGCCTTCTCCCCACAATCAATACAATGATGGCAACGGGCCTTGCTCCACTACTCTCCAAATGTGCAAAATGAGACTGAATACACCACTAGAACACGGATCCATACTGTCCAGCTGATGCAGCTCAGTGGTTAGAGCACCGGTTGGAAATGCGCATTGTGGTATAAGGTTGCGGGCTCAAAACCCCGCAGCCTTGCACAGGGACACCGGCAGGGCGTTAGATTGACGCACGGCTGGGCACACACCCCCTTGGGCTGACGCATGGTACTATTGCAGACACTGCCTGCACACCACCCAAGGGTTGTTCATGGTGTTGTATGTTGGTTCTGGGTTTCACATGGGTTGCTTGGGGGTGTTGGTCTTGGGTGTTCTGCTGATCTCCCCAGTCTGGCATATCACACATTCGTGCCACTTCCACTAGCCGTTCGCATGGTAGAGTCATTCGATTACATGTTACAAGGTCACGGGTTTGCAAACTACACATCGCCTACGGGCTACATGTACAAGTTTCCACACATGATGCTGTCTGTACATCTCTCGATACATAGATTCACAGAGCATATTCATACACATAGCTTGCGAACTACACATCGCCTACGGGCTACATACACAAGTTTCCGAGTGCGTGCATATATACATCTATAATATCAGGCTGGGGGGGTCTAGTCACTGGGTGGGGTCTATTATCTGCAGTAGGTTCAGGCAGGTTGGATAGGGTGCCATCGGGTGTGGTTCCTACTGACATTCGGATAGAACTATCTGGTGGCTATATGTATGAAAAAGGCTTAGAACCTAGGGTAAGGGTAGGGACATAAGTTGCTCAGTCCAGTTCGAGTTCCGCGGCCTGGCCTTGGGTAAGCTAGGGGAAGGATGGTAAGACTGCTTCAGTGGGTGCTACCCTGTCTGAACCTAGGGTCCATAGTCCCTTGGGGCCCGTAGTCGATTGTCTGGGCCTGGCGTCCGAAGTTCCCGTTCGACAAGGCTTGTCCGATTCCGCTTCCACCAGGGCTGGGCAACCTATCAGCCCTGGTGCCTGTCACTGCTGTTCGGTCCAAGTTACCTGCCCATTGGTAGCGTAATGGTCCTGAGTGCT